GTGGTATTAGATGGCTTACAGGCCAGGCTTGGTGGCTCAGCCTGTAATCCCAGCACTTTGGGAGGCCGAGGTGAGAGGATTGCCTGAGTTTGAGACCAGCCTGGGCAACTTGGCGAGACCTCGTCTCTACAATAAATCAAAAATTAGCCAGGCGTGGTGACGTGCACCTATAGTTCCAGCTACTTGGAAGGCTGAGGCGGAAGGATTGCCAGAGCCCAGCAGGTCGAGGCTGCGGTGGCCGGAAGCGTGCCACTGCACTCCAGCCTGGGCCACAGAGTAAGACTCTAACTCAAAAAAAAAAAAAAAAGCCTTATAAGCGCCCTAGATCATGCGCCCTCTTCTGTCAACATTGCAAAGTCCAGATACTTTGACGAATGTGTTTATTATGAAAGTGGCAGAATGGGGCTGTGGGTCTTCCGATTTTGTTGTCTTGGAGGACAACACATCTGCTTCCCTCTACACACCCAATGGGCGCTTCTTTCTTCCTTTTTGTGTAGTTGCTCCTCCCGGATCTACGTGCTTCCAAGACTGTGGCCTCACATCTCATGTGTACGTTTAAATCCTTCCCCTGTGGTCCAACTCTGACCTCCTACAGACACATTTGAACATTTTCAGGCTCCAGGTGGACTTGGTGTTTATAGCGAGGTCCTAGGTCAAGCTTGAGCCCCACTGTTACCCTCTCTTCTCTCTCCCGTTTTTCTCAGTAGGTCTGGGCTTGCCACAAAGCCCATGGCAAGTGAGCCTGGAACGAGCATCCGAGAGACCCTGAGCTGTTATTTTGTTTGTTTTTATTTATTTCTAAGTTTGAGCATTCTTGTCTTTAAGGTATACTGAGGCTTGGTTTTATGTGGTTTTATCTTTCTTTTTTCTTCATTCCATATTGTTTTTCTTTTTTGTAGGGGTCTCATTCTGTTGCCTGGGTTGGAGTGCAGTGGCACAATCACAGCTCATTACAGACTCGACCTCCTGGTATCATGTGATCCTTCCACCTCAGCCTCCCAAGGAGCTGGGACCACAGATGTGCGCCACCATGCCTAGATAATTTTTTTAATTTTTAAGAGACAAGGTCTTACTGTGTTGCCAGGATGGTCTAAACTCCTGGGCTCAAGCGATCCTCCCACCTCAGCCTCCCAAAGTGCTGGGACCATGCACGTCCCATATTGTTTTGCTAGGTAACACTGGGAGATGGGGACCGACGCTGCCACCATTGTCTTCCTAAGTCTTTGATAAAATATTGCCTTCCCATCTCATCTAACGTTTACAAGCCTCATTGTCCAAGGGATAAGGCTGCCATGAAGGGATACACTGCATGGTCCTTTTGAACCAGAAGTGGAGGCAGCCCTCTGTCATTTTACCTTCTCGTGTCCCAGAACCAAGAGGGTGTGACTGATCCTGATTATCAAGGAAGCAACTGTTGTTGCCACACAATGGGAACAAGAAGTCTGCTACACCCAGGGGATCCTGAGACATCTCTGAGGACTGCCAGATTCAATGATAATGAATGACTCAAGTGACCCAATACAGGCGAAATCAACAAAGACTCAGACTCTTTGAGAACGAAGTTCTGGTGACCCTATTATGATCTCTGAGGACAAAAAAAAAAAAAAAAAACGAGTGTGCAAGAAAGAAGTTATAAATACCAATCTAGGGTTAACAGATAAAATACAGGATGCCAGTTAAACATGAATTTTGAAAAACAGCAACTGACATTTTTTGTTTGTCCTATTAACTAAAAAATTACTTGTTTATCTAAAGCTAAAATTGAACTGAACATCCTGTATAATTTTGTTTGTCTAATCTGGCAACTCTTTTTTTTTTTTGAGTTGGAGTCTCACTCTGTCACCCAGGCTGGAGTGCAATGCCACACTCACGGCCACTGTGGCCTTGACAAACCTTCTGCTTCAGCCTTCCAAGTAGCTGAAACTACAGGCATGTACCACCAAGCCCAGCTAATTTTTTTGATTTTACTATAGAGACAAGGTCTTGCCATGTTGCCCAACCCATGGACTCAGGTAATCCTCTTGCCTCAGCCTCCCAAAGGGCTTGTCTTACTGGCATGAACCACTGCGTCTAGCTAAATCTGGCAACTCTTATTGTGGCCTTGTAACTCATGACACAAAAGATTCACAGTTTCTTCCTTGGATGTAAAATAGAGATTAGCCGGTATCTTTCCCCATGTCTTTTCCCTTATTACTCACAACCAGCTTGATAATCTGGAGCATTTGTTACAGCACACTGAGGTGAGATTGTGACTAACTACTCAGCATCGCCATAGCAGCATGGATTCTCCCAACTGCCACCGCAAGGGGAGAAAGGGCTGGAAAAGCAAGTGTCAGCAACAACAGCCCTGGAACTGACCCTTGCTACATTTCACTAGCCAGAGCTGAGCCTGTGGCCAGGCCACCTTCACAGAGGTGAGGAAGGACACTGGTGTATCTGGAAGACCAGCAATTGGTAAACATTAGCAGTGTCCACACAGGTGGGCAAAGTGACCCATGGGACTGTGAGTCTCTCCTTTTAGGGAGAATTTTTAGTTGAATGAGGGATCGTTACACAGGAGACTGTTACTGCTGCTGTGACCTTTGGAAGCTCAAGTATGAGCAGCCATGTGTGAGGCTGAGGCCACAGAGGGGTGGTGTCTGGTGGACATCATGGGTTGGCTGCTCCTGCATCCATCCTACCTCATAGTGTCCTTCCTAGACATGCTGAGAGAGGCAACGCCAAAGCTCTGACTGAAATTGCTTAGTCTAGGTGAGCACACTCATACCCTGCGATCCAGCAATTCCGTTCCTTATGTGTGTCCCAGAAAAACTGTCGCATAGGCCCATAAGGGAACACAAAAATGGCCATTGCAGCTTGGTTCTGGTGGGGGAGCTGAGGTCTCTGGCACCCAGCATTGGAGGAGTGACTGGATAAAATGGGATGGATGCATGTGTGGGTGGACAGACAGGTGAAAGGATGCTCATGGACCAGTTATCTTAATTCTAGGCTGAGGACTAACACCACCTTCTGCATCTAAGGGCAGAAAGAAAACATGTCTGGACTCCCTTGCTGCTAGAGTCTGTGTGAGAAAATGGTTCTGTGCACGAGGTACCCTCAGAATGATGTGGAGGAAACAAGGCCAAGGCCATTTCCGCCACAGCAGAAGCTTCAAGTCTGGAGACAGGCGGATTGCTATGTAGTTGCTGGTGGGTGGCTGGACTGCTACCACAAAAGGCTCCAAGTGATAGGACACCAAAGCCTCCAGCCCCTGTGGCCCAAGTGGACACCACACATGACTCTTGGAGCCCTTTTGCAGGCAGGTCCACAGACCAAGCCTTGAAGATATTCACTCTTTCTGCCGCAACGTCAGGTCTCTGGCTGTCAGGAAGCCACGGTCAGCCCCACCCTGCATCCCAGGGTCTAGGCCTAGCTCCCTGGGTGCTGAGAGGGACTGGAATGCAGGCAGGGCAGAATGTTCTGGAACTCAGCTCCAGTGGTGGTCCCCAGTAGCGCTTTTCTCCAGCCTTCCCAGGGACTCTGTAAGTACCTGACTCTGTCTTGAATCTCTTTCTGCTGAAAACAGCTGGAGAAGTTTGTTTCCTGAAACTAACCCCTTCCTGATTGGGCAATGGCTTGCAGGGGTGATAGAGCAAGTTACTGCTGTGCTCAAGTTTGAGACAGGCCTCCTGATTTGACCTATACACTCTCTTAACCCACCCCAATCAGGAGGGACAAGGATGACCCATAGGGAACTTGTGGGCTGGAGCCCGAGGCAGGGGCAGCGAAAGTCCCCTCCCCAAGGACAGCACAGGCCAGCTCACTGCTGCTTCTGCAGCACCCAGGGTGGGGCTGGCCCAGGGCAGGGCTCTGCTCTGATGAAGTGGTAATGGAGACTTGCCACAGGATGACAAAGCAATGTCACCAACCAGCTGGATGACCTTAGGAAAATCACTCAAACATTCTGGCCTACAGATTTCCTCATCTGCGGGGCTCTGCAGAGCTGTTGTAAGGATGAAATGAGCCAACACACATGTGCCTGGCAGTAGTATTGGCTTACATGTCAAGGCATCATACACATTTGGAAAAAACTAGGGAAACTAGTTCTTATCTGGAAGATCCTTAAGTACAGCACTGATTGGGGTCCTCAGGGGCTGAGGAGAGCAAAAGCCAGTTTAGTTTTAGCCTCGATCCAGTGGCCCCTCGCGGCCCCCAAACCTCCCAGCAGGCCCTCCCAGAGATGGCTTCAATCTGCACACTTTGGGAAGCCTCTCTCCCTCAGGTAGGGGCCACTTGGCCACATGTCACTATTTCTGGCTGTCATTCCATCATCCCTGCCTGAGCTCCCTGGGACAGGGACCCTGCAAACCTTGGGAGTTGAAAAGCACTGGCCCACGGGTCAGGAGAGCTATATCCTGGCTCCAGCCTCCTTCCTAGAGTTGCCGGGTAGCCTTGGGCAAGGCCAGATCCTCTCTGAGAGGTGGAATGTTTTTCCTTCTGCCTCCTGGACAGGAATCCTGGCGAATCCTAGTATATCGGGGGCAGGAAGGAACTACGTGGCCCTGTGGTTTGGTCTGGAAGCTTTCTTGGGGCCTATGACCCTGCTATGGTTGAATGTCCATCCCTTCCCAAACTCATGTTGAAACTTGCCATTGTAACAGTATTAGGAATTGACACCTTTCAGAGGCGATGAGGCCATGATGGCTCACGGACGGATTAAGGCTGTCATCACAGAGTGGGATCGTTCAGTCCATGCTTGCCCTTCTGCCACGGGATGACGCAGAAGGCCCTCGCCGGATGCTGGCTCCTTGATCTTGGACTTCCCACCTCCAGACCCGTGAGTCAATGCATCTGTTTGGTATAACTGATCCAGTCTCAGGTGTCCTAGTACGGCAGCGAAATCAGACTAAGATCCCCACTTATAAGCCTGCTCCCAACCAGGGCCCCAGAGAAAACAAGCTGGTGAGGGTTGTTGGCGAATGTAGGATTTTTGGTGTCCTGGCCCTGGCCCACCCCTCGTAGGCAATCCCCCCAAGGACCACAGTCCTGTCCCCACCCGGCCTCCCCAGGCTCAGACAGTGGCTGACAGCCCACGGAGGTAGTCCCCTGCCAGGGGCAGCACGGCCCAGTCATCGGTCCGCAGGGCCACAGGTACTCCGTCCGTCTGGGCTGCCTCCAACCGCAGCAGAAGCTTCGAGTCTGGGGGCAGGCGGATTGCTACGTGGTAGCTGGTGGGGGGCTGAGACGCCACCACAAAGGGCTCCAAGTGGCAGGACACCAAAGCCTCCAGCCCCTGCAGCCCAAGTGGACACCACACACGACTCTCAGCTCCCTTTGGCAGGCAGGAGTCCCAGAGCTCCTCAAAGAAGCCCGGTCCGGCCCCCTCTAGGGGCTGGGGAAAAGGCAGAAAGAGGTTGGAGAAGTTCACGAACAGGGGTGGCAGGTGGGCATGGCACGTGAGGCCGGCGGGTGTAGTGTAGAGGGCGTGAACATCCAGCCACGCGGGGGCCGGGCGTCGGGGCTGGAGTGGCAGGAGCAGTGGGCGGGCAGGGCGACCCGGGCACAGGCAGGGTAGGTGCACAGCCTCCATGGGTGCATACAGCTGTCCTTCCACGCGGAAGCGAAGTTCCAGAGAATACACTGGCTCCAGCGGCTCCACCTGGAGCTGCAGCACGGGGAGTGGGCCCTTGACCCCGCGGGGCCCCACGCTCAGCCTCATGGGGGCTGGGGCCTCCTGCACCATCAGCGATGCCACAAAGCCCTGGTTCTCGGCTACCAGTGAAGAGGCCAGCGCAGGTGCCGCCAGAGAGGGGCCTAGGGCCACGCCCAACTTGGGCCTTGCCAAGTGGGCCAGGAGGATGTAGTAGAGGCGAGCGTGGTCCCGCCCATCAGGGTCCTCCAGCTGCCTGACCAGTGCCTGCAGCAAGTCCGCCAGGCCGCCGCCTCCACCTGCCCGCAGCAGGGCCCGGCAGACTCGAAGCAGGGCCTGCTGTAGATCCCAGCCCGTGCAGTGGGCCGCTGCAGCCTGCAGAAAACTGAGGGTGGCGCTCTGGGCATCCCCATCTGCCACCTTCGCCACTATCTGTAGGTGCCAGCGAAGAGCTTCATCCCTGCCTGGCCTGGATACCACCTCCTGCCGCAAGGCCACCCTCAGGGGCTCCCCCAGCTCGGGGCCCACCCGATCCAAGAGATCCACAAAGTGGGGGGCCAGCACAGGCCGGGCTCGGTACAGCTGGGCCAGCCCCTGGATCAAGGGGGTCAGCACTGCAGGCTGCCCAGCTAGGCAGTGGGCAACCAGGTATGAGGCCTGGAAGCAGAGAGTGGCCAAGGCCTGGGGGCTCCCGGCCAGGGCTGCCCTCTGGCGCAATCCAGCCAGTAGCTCCTCCAAATACTGCCGTGGGCTGGGAACCTGGCCTTTCTCCTCCTCTTCCTTGTCTTCCATACAGAGCAGGCACAGCAAATACAGGCGGGCCAGGAGGGACATTGGATCATGCAGGAGACTGGGCAGGAGGCCTTGGCACAGCTGGGGTCTGAGCAGCAGCGGGGCGGCCTCCTCGCCTTCGGGGCCCAGCGGCCAGTTCTCAGGGAAGCTCAGGAGGCAGTGCAGGTGAAAGAGGTGGGTGGGCGTAGGCAGAGCTGGGTGCTGGGCGGCCAGGGTGAGCCGTCGGAGCAGCAGGGCTTCATCCTGGGCCGTGAACAGCGCCTCCCCGAAGGCCGCCTTGAGCGCAAGCACGGCATGCAGCAGTGTCAGCTGTGCGGTGCCCAGCAGCCGCACCAGCTGAGGCTTGAAGAGCGCTGGGGGCTGTCCCTGCAGCCCC